CCTTGTCCCAGCCCTGATGCTCTCTTTCCCCCCTCCTAGCCCGTTGTCAATGGTACTGATCGCTACATCATCAAGTCCAATGGCAACAAGACAGAGCTACGCATCCTCAAACTGAGCATTGAGCAAGATACAGGTGACTACCACTGCAATGGTACCAACGTGATGGGCCCTGGAAGTGCTACGGTGAATCTGCGCGTCCGCAGCCGCCTGGCAGCTCTTTGGCCCTTCCTGGGAATCGTGGCAGAAGTTCTGGTTCTCGTCACCATCATCTTCATCTACGAGAAGAGGAGGAAGCCAGATGAGGTTCTTGATGGTAAGAGGTGGCTGAGGTCGAATCTTCCTGGGGGAAGTAGCTTGTGGGGTGGAGGCAAGTCGTTCTCATGGAGAGCTCTGGCTGTGCTTTGTCAGACAGGCATTCCGTGTGAGGCTGCCTTTCAGGAATGCTTCTTGTCTAAGCACGGTAGCCTTTACCCAGTTATTTTAGTCTCAAGTAATTGCACTGTAGTGACAGTCCTTCAGCAAGCTGTGCTTTGGCTCAGGAGTGAGAGAAAAGTGGGCGCAGGTTGCACTGACCCTTTGTCTCACCAATGCCTCTGCGCTTTGTTCAGCTGCTTCTTCATGTGGGTGTCTGGAGGACGGGGCTTTCTCTGACCATTAACATTCTGGAGAAACCAATTAGTAAACAGCAGGCTGTGTTGTCAGTGGTTCTATTAATACCAGTTCATGAATCTGTTTTGGGCTCTCAGATTCACACATCCTGACTCCTGGGGACTTCCTCCATGCATAGTGTTATCTTTAATCTGTTCAGAAAACACAGTTCCTCCCTTTCCTTATCAGTAGGAATCTTCATTGTGTTAACCAGCTTTGCCTTCCTTATCTGATCCCATTAACAATGAAGTACAGATGCTTGGTATCCTTCCTGCTTGCTAGGTCAGTCGCTTCAGCCCTTTGCTGGGGAGCAGCACACATCAGGTGCACTGAGTGCTACGAAGGGGAAGCAGAAGGGCTAGAACTGAATGTTCCTCCTCTGATTGCAGGGCTTCAGAAATTCTACTCAAGGCAGTTTTATGAGTGAATCCATTCCCTCTGACAGCCCTGGTTGGATGGCAGATGTCTCATGTGTAGCTGTGTCTCTTAGCAAGGAAAAAAAAGAGCTGTAACTGGTTCACAGAATGATTTGGCTTCTGCTGACGTCAACTGGGTCCAGGTCCTGTTGAGTGCTGATCAGTCAGAGCCGTAGGGGATCCTTTAACAGATGAAGACAGGACGTGTGATGCTGAAAGGTCCTGATACCCTCCCACCCTCTGGCTCATCAGCCAGAGATCTTCAGCACTTGGGAACCTGAGCTTGTGGGCGAAGAAACAGTTCTGTATGTGACAGCAGGGCACCGTAAAGCTGTGTTCTCCCAAAATCTTCATAGATTTGACCCTCTTGAGAGGAGCTGGCAGGAAGGGAGTGCTGGGCCAGCTCGGATAAACGCTGTTCCCCAAGCATGTGGTTGTGGGCTGGCAATTCCCTATTGGCTAGAGTGGGAAGAGTCTAACTTGTATATGGCACAACCTTGCTGGTGTTACCTTTCCACTCTTTCCTCCTCTGCTGCTGGATGCTAACTTGACTGGTAAGAACTGGGAGATGGCTCCAGCTGTGCTCCTGCATCATCCTCTCACCAGCTGTGTGCAGATCTTGGGACCAAGGCAGCCCCAGTGCTCAGAGCACTGCTGTTGTGCTGCAGAGATGATGGAGCCTTCAGGGGAAGTGGCAGATTGCAAGGAGCTGGTGAAAGGACTCGGTGTCTTCTTAGCTGAGTTTCTCCATGTAGCAACAACGTGCTGTGCAGTGTATCTGTTTTGATTTCACAGTGTGTGTGGGGAGGACGAGGGCTTACTGATGCTTAAAGCCTTGTTCCTGAAGCCTCCTGCATAACAGGAGCTCATGTCTAAGCTTGCTCCATGTCTGAGCTCAGGCAAGAAGCAGCTTAAAGCTCATACAAGGATGTGGTGTTGTGATAAGCCCTCCCTGCTCTCCCAGGCCCTGGTGAAATGACCGTGTGGGTTCAGTGCTGTGATATCCAGTGTGTCCAGTAACCCACCTGGGTTGCTCAGCCCTGGGGTTCAAAGGAGTGGAAGAGCCAGAGGTGATTTCATGTTTGTTCTTCCCTGACACAACTCTTTCTTTCTTTCTTTCTTTTTTCCTGTGCTGTCCTGGATGTGAAGATGATGATGGAGGCTCTGCACCACTGTAAGTGCCTTGGTTTTTCTGTTGAGTCAGTTTGCATTGCCAGATTGCATTCATTTGGGGAATCTGCTCTGAACGTAAGAGCTAGCAGAACGTGAAAGCTGGCTGCTTCCTGGGAGATGTTTCCTCCATGTTTTTTTAATGTGGCCTCTCTATAAGCAGAACACTACTTAAAACAGCACAAAAGTCTCCAAAACTGATTGTTCTGGAAGCTAATCTCCTCTTGCTCTATCTTACCCAACTCTTTGGGCACGAATCACACCAGTGAGTGGGGTAGGGGTGGGCTTTGGTGCTGCTTTCTTCATCGTGCCTTTTCTCTCTGCAGGAAAAGCAATGCCACGAACCACAAGGACAAGAACGTCCGCCAGAGAAACGCTAACTGAGTCAGAGGTCAGTGCTGCACCTGATGTCACCTGCTGGGTCAGGGCACCCTGGGGACCTGCTGGGTCAGCTCTTCACTCCCTGCAGCCATGGGCTCATCCTGCTGGCTGCAGGGCACTGTCCAGCTGGGGTCCTTCATCAAGAAGAGCTTTTGCCCATGTGCTGTTTGGAGGGGAGGGGAAGGGAGGCATTGCTGTGAAGCTCAGGCACAGGCCAGCAGGAATCTGATAAGAAACTGCCAAAGCTGCTGGAACAGTGGGAGAGACATGGAAGAAAGCATTGGGCTGTAGAGCATGGGAGGGTCAGGGCTGTCTGATTGCTCCAGCATGGGATGGGTTGAGCTCACAGCTTTGCTTAAGGCAGCTGTCGTCCTTTCTGCTTCATCACCCCCCAGCACAGCCTCGTTGGGTTCTCTAATTGCCTTTTCTTTCTCTTGTGCCAGGTGACGTGTAGCTGAAGAACTTGTCTGGACATTGTTTTCTTCTAATTTTTATTATTTTTGTTTTTTTGTAAAATAGCACCAGGAAATACTTAGCGTGTCCTTGCGATTCAGTTACTTCACTTTCGACAGGAAATTAAGTTGTAGAATCTAAAACACACACTTTTTTTTTTTTTTTTTATAAAAAAAAAAAAAAAAAAAAAAAGGGTTGTGGGGGGGTTTTTTTTTTCCTACCTGTGAGCGTAAATCCTTTTTTTTTTCCTTTTCTGATAGTCTGGGTCACTGTCGTAGATGTATTTCTTCATGTTGATACGGAGGGGGGTAGGTGGGGTGATGCTTTCTTTCTCACCTTTGGGAAGAGCTGCGTGTGTGTGATGGGTAGGATTACTTTGAAATGCCTCTGTGTGTGGGGAGCAGCAACTGTCACAGCTCCCTGTGTGCTGCAGGTCTGTCCTGGGGGCAGGTCAGGAAGAAACTGCTGTAGCAACCTGTGGAGATGACCTGATCTCCCAATGGGCTTAGAAAGGTAATTCTGGATCTTTCCCAGTGCAAAGAGCGTAGCTGCATGGGAGCAGCTTGCATGTCTTGTAATTGCCAGGCTTCCTGGCCAGCTCCCCCAGGGATGCTCTGGGTGATTACAGTCAAGCAGGCAACCAGGAGGCAGCATTAGAGCTGGGCATTGGCTGAGCATGAGTAGCAATAACTCATTTAATGGGGGGCTGCTGATATCTCAAGTTGCTACACTGGAGCAAGCAGATGCTGGGGCTGTGGTGCTGGGGGAGGGGGTTTGCATGGTGTGACAAAGGAGTCTGAGAGCAGGTGATGCTCAGAGGATTCTTTCTTGCTGGGTAGCACTGAGCTGATCCATCTGTTAACATGCTTCACAAATAAAGATGATTCCTCTTTTTTTTTTTCCACCTTGGTTTGGCTTCTGGTGTCTCTCTCCCTTCCTGGTTGGGCCCCCTGGGTTTGCTGGCCTGCTCTGACCCCTGCCTGGCAGCTCGTTTTGGAGCACACAAAGGTTTTGGCTCCCAGGATCCTGCCAGCTCTTCCTGCTCTCTAATCACAGTGCCTACAATAGATGTGTTCAAACCCTTCCAAAAGGAGGAGGCAAGTGGTGCTTTTTCAGGAGCACTGGCCTCTGCTGCAGATCTGCTTTCATGGTCTTGCCCTGTTGTGTGGTTACTTGTGGCTCCAAGCAGCAGCTGGAGCTGATGGGCACTGTGTGCAGTATGCAGATATGGAGGCAAGCCAAAGGGAAGTGCACACCAACCTCTTGGGTATGGGCTATGAGCATTGTGGCTGCCTTTCCAGGCAAGCTCTGGCTTTTTGCCCTGTGGAAGCTGGGCTGTGGATTCCTGGAGCTTCTGATCTTGGGATCTCAGTTGCCTGGGTGTTCATCTTCCTGTCCAAGCAGGGCTGGATGAACAAATGGGATACAGCAGATAGGGGCACTGAGTTATGGTTTGTTCCTTAGCATCTGTTGTGCAAAAAGCACCAGCAAAAAGGCTCAGGAGCCTGAAAGGGCTCTTAATTTTCATCTGTGTGTTTCCAGTGCCTTTAGGCTGGGAATCAGCATACCTAAAGGTGATGGACTCAGCGACAACCACATGAATCCTGTAGGGAAAACAACTGGTGCCCGTGGTCCTGGCGGGAGCTGTGCATTATTAGGGAGCTGCTGGGACTGGTCAGTGCCTGCAATGAAAGGCAGGTGAGGACAGGCTGGATAAGTGCTGGTGAAAGCAATAAAGCACGGCTGGCTGCTTGGCTCCCAGCTGCTGCCTTTGCTGTGGTATCACATGCCTCCCTGAGAAATCATTTTCCTTCTTGTGGAGGAGAGGGAAGGTGAAAGGCCTCTGGCTGCAGGTGCTGGGGGCTCTTCTTGCACTGTGCAGCTCTGCACTGAGGCTGATGCTCGGTGTTCCCAGCTGCAAAGTGCTGCTTGGGCTCATCATCCTCACTATGAAGCCAAACCCTGGCCTGGGCAAGGATAATTACAGCAGGGTAACACAGCTCTTAGTGCAGTGTTGCTTGTAGGTCCAGCAGCCCAGGACCTTCCCCCGAATGTTGCTGCTGTCCCAGTGTCATCAGCTTGTGTGCCCTGGGCTGACCACGCAGTGTGGCTGTGCTGCACGTCAATGCATTATGCAAGCCCTGGCACAGCCGGCTTCCTGCTTATGGGTGCTATCCTGAGAGAGCTGAGGGGGGGGGAGAGAAAAAATCAATGTGTGGCTTAATGTCCCTGTTGGGGACTGTGGGTCCTGGGCTGCAGCACAAAGCTCTGTTTGTGCCCTTTGTTCCACGGGACTGGTAGACAGGAGCAGCCTGGGAGAGGGGATGCGTGGCTCCATGCTGCGCTCTGCTGGGCTGCCGGCCCGTGTCTGTGTGTCTGTCCTGCATTGCTCAGCCTCTCCTTGCCCTGAATATCGCACCCCGTTTGCCCCTATGCCTCTTGCTCACATCAGCATGCAGTGCTCTGTGCGACTCTGCTGGGATGGGAGGGCTTGGATCAGCCAGGGGCAGGAGGGGAATTGAATCATAGAGTCATTAAGGTTGGAAAGGACTTCTGAGATCCCCACATCCCAAACCATCCCCACATCCCTCAACACCGCATCTTCGTTTTTAAACACCTCCAGAGATGATGACTCCAGCCTGTCCCTATCCATGACCACTTTCTGAGTTGAATTTCTTTCCAAGTATCCAGCCTGTGCTTCTCCCAGCTCTCCTCTCGTCCTGAAGGCTTGAAGGCGGTTGGGAGAAATTTGCTGGTGTTAAGGAGAAGCAAAGTGAAAGAGCCGATTCTCCCGGTCCCGGCTGGGTTTCTGCTCGGCGGGCAGCACGTAGTGCCAGAATCGCGTCCTCCGCGTGCATCCAGCCATCGTTCACCTTCTTACTTCGTGCGCTCGAAGGGGCGATCCCCATTGCAGGTTCTGACGGCAGCTGCCGCTCCGCTCTCGTTATATTTGGCCTCTCAGGAGCCCCGCTCGGTGCCGATCCTGGGCTCTCGATCCTTCGAACCCTCGGGGCATCTCCTCCCCCGAGGCCGTTCTTTGGCCGCGGCGCTGCGCGGAGGGCACGGCTCGAATCGCTACGGATGGGAACGGTGGGAGGCATCGCCGGGGATGCGCAGCCTGGGGCTGCGCCAGCGGGGGGAGCTGCGGAGCCGCTGCGGTCCCGTCGCCCGGCCCGCCTCCGGTCCGCCCCCGGCCCGCCCCACGGCGCGGCGGCGGGTACCGCTCCGGTGCCGCTCGGGTACCCGCCGGTGGCCTCGGAGACAGAGCACGATGCGATCGGGCGGGGAGGCGGCGGCCGAGGAGGAGGCGGCCGAAGGGGCCAAACGAAGCGGAGGGGCGGCCGCGGGGAGGACGCGGAGCCGCGGTGGGAAGGGATCCCCGAACGGAGAGTGCCGCCGTGGGGAAACGCCGCGCAGCCCCAGCGCGGAGCAGCCCCGAGAACCCAAGGTCTCTTTCTCCTGCGGCGGCGGCGGCGTCGGCGGCGGCGCATCCCCAGGCGGGGCCAAAGCGGCCGAGGAAGGCGACGATGCGGGCGAGGAGACCCGCGGGAGCCAGGCCAGCTTCATGCAGAGGCAGTTCGGTGCCATGCTCCAGCCCGGCGTCAACAAGTTCTCGCTGCGGATGTTCGGTTCGCAGAAGGCGGTGGAACGGGAGCAGGAACGCGTCAAGTCAGCGGGGGCCTGGATCATCCATCCCTACAGCGATTTCAGGTGCGCGTCCCGCCGGCTTCCCCCGCATCCCCCCCCCCCCCTCCTCCTTCCCTTCCGTGCAACCTCCGGGCGCTCTGGGAGCGCGGAGTAATTGCGGGCATCGCTGCGGCGGGGCCGGGCTCGAGCATCCCTGGAGGCCGCGGTGAGGGTGGTGGATGGAGAGGCCGACCGGAGCGCTTCCTCCCGCTTCGGGTTGGGAGAAGGAGGAGGAGGAGGCCGTGCCGTGCCCTGGAGAGGGCACCTTGAGCCGTGCTGGAGGTGGAAATGGGGGATGCGGCCGCGTGTGTGCAGGGAGGGGCTGGCGATGGGCATCCACCTCCCCAAGAGCCGCCGTCCATCCGGAGATGCCAGGAGCTCTCTGCTTACCCGATGGGTGCCCGCACAAGGGCATCTTCTCGTCCTTCGCAGGGCCTCGGAACGGCTCAGCACAGCGAGGAGCCACTGGAGATCCCGCGGGGATCGGGCTCTGCCCCTATGGCTGTCACTGCGGGGTGGGGGGAGGGAACAGGGTCGTGCTTATCTCTGGGATCCTTAAGCCCTGCTGCACCCTCCACGGCCATGCACAGCTTTGGGAACAGTTTCCTTCCCCCAAGGAGGCCCAATCCCATCCCTAAGATTGAAGGAATTTGAGGAGGGATTCATTTAGTTCCCAGCAGGAATAGTGTCCCCGAGGTGCAGCCTTTGCAGCTTCCAGCTGAGGAATGGCAAACCCTGAAAGAAAGGTTGTGCAGGACCAGCTCCTGCCCATCTCCCCAGTGGGGAAAGATCAGCGGGGAAAGATCAGCGGGGAATGCTTCCTGGGTTGCATGGAGGCTCCCATAGGGATGTGCAGCCCTTCTGGGGATGGGAGGCTGAGATCCTGCTGACATCTCTGGCAAGCGAGGCTGCTGGGAGCTCCTGGTCCAGTGATTGTACAGAGGGGCTGGGGGCTGTTGGCCAAAGTCAGGGGGCCAGCAAGTGGCTCAGCACTGAGTCCCTCTGCACTGTTCTGGTGCTTGGGGGCTGCACTCCAGGGCGAGCGAGCAGCTGTTGGGGTTATGTTGAATCCCCAGTGCATGCAGAGGTCCTCAGGGCAGTGCAAGAGGCTGTGGAATGAGAGGCTGTGCTGAGCAGACAGGATCGTGGCAGGGACCAACGCCTGCACCTCCTGGGTCCTGGCCTCATGTTGGCTCCTGTGCTGCTCTGCATCCTCTGAGGTGCACGGAGGGGCAGCTGGAGCCTCCAGCTTGCTCTCCTTGTACGCACAGTAGTGCAGCCACGGGGCTGATATTCCTGCCCGGATCCCACTGCGGGTGTTGCCCATCCTTGCTTGGCTGCTCGGGGAGCAGCAGTGCTGCAGAGCAGGGGTGTGAATGCTGCGTGGCTCAGCTGGTCATGAGGGTGTTCTCCCATGGGAGCTGCGCCGTCCTGCTGTGACCACCGTCGTTCCCAAGCTGTTTGGGCTCCCCATCAGCC